AACTTATGCAGAAGCAGCTTTAGATTCTCAGTGCTGTGCTTTAACCTGCTGCGCCACCAGGGAGGGCCTTAAATATTTGATTTATAAACATTCTATAAGTTTGGCAAAAGCACCTGAAATGTGTTTTTATTTTTATGAAGTCTATGTTCAGGTTTGTGGAGAACCAATTTTGTTCAGTGCAAAGGAGCAGAATGTGCCTATTACAGCTCCACCCTCCTTCCCAGCTGCATGGATAATGAGCACTTTCTATGCCCAGACAAGTTCTAAAATTTCCTTGTGAGGGTGGAAAGGGTGTGTCCCGATGTATCTACAGGCATAGGATAAAGAAAAATTAGAAGAACATGGAAAAGGAAGAAAGTCTTGCTGGAGGCCCTGTCAAACGAATGCAAGGACCGAGAGGATGGTAGCAAGCTCCCCTCCTCTCTTTTCCTTATTTCTCTCTTTTCCTTCCTTCTTTTGCATCCATCTCAATCAAAGGGTCCAAAACAGAATACACTGATAATTAACTCCATTTCCTTTCTTGATTGTATAGTTCCCTTCTCCAGTTAAAACGGTTATAGTTTCCTATGGAAACTTACAGAAATTGTCTATGCGTTGACTCATTTTTGCTTTTTGGGCAAGTGATAGTATTCTATATATGTTGTTCTGTGTTTTGCTTTTGAAATCACTTTACAATCTCTTGATGATTGTAGCAGATATAATTTATATTCCTGGCTGTCATCATTCCAGGAAAATCCTCTTTATATTTGTAGAAATCCTTGCTGTCATCCCAGTGTAGAAAGCAGAACTTCCCTCCCCAAGCTCCCTGCAGCTAGAGCTCAATGTCACTCAGGAGCAAATTTAGTCTGGAAGTGAGGGAAATACTGAGACAATGTTCTTGGAGTTTTATCCAATAATCACTGATGGACTGTAAACTTAGCACGTAAAAGTGCTAATTTCTTCTGTCATCTCTGTCATTGTAGGTTTATGACTTTCTAGTCATTGTAGGTTTATGACTTTCTAGTCCTCTACTACCATTTTAGGCAGCAATCAATAGCAGGAAGATATAAAATAAACAGTCTTGTATCAATATTAACGTCCTGGTTTGCATAATCATACCACGTATGATGTTAAGATCATCCTCTTAACATCTGGTAAAAAGGCTTATTTTGATGATCATTTTGCAATGTATACAGTTGTCTAATCATTCTGTTTTACTTGAAATGAAAGTGGTGTTCTATGTCAACTATTTTCAATAAAAACACTAATCTATAAACTGAGCCTGAAGATATGGTTATGAAAAGAATGTAAACATTGTCAATGTGGTGTATATAAAGAACATGTTTGGCTTTCAGGTTCCTGATATAGAGCACATAAAACTCTGGAATTTCCTGAGGGATAAAATGACAAGAGTACCTTTTGTTGTACTGTGACAACTTTTGGTGGGGCCCTAAGAGCTTCAAGATGAGGGCTGATTGCCAGGAAGACCAAACCTTGATTGAAATCTTGAAACTCAGCACCACCTCTCACCATTTCTAGGGAGGGGAAGAAAGCCAGAAGCTTGAGCTAATCAGTAGGCACAGAGATCATGCCCAGGTGACAAAACCTCCAGAGAAAACCTTCCATGATGGTTGTAGCACATGGGTGAACACATT